AAAAAAAAATTAAGCATACCTCAAGCCATTTTGTAGTCTCTTAAGGTAATGAGGTTTTATCCTAAATACTATAATCTTGAAGTTAGAAAATAAACTGAAAGACCGATAGCCAATACATTTACCCTCATCTATTTATTCTTGGTCTGGGGTACAAATCAACAGGAACCACAGTTGGGAATAAGCCACACATATGTGCCCCGAGAACATCACTGGGGAAGAACCTTCGTTGTTGATGCTAAAGAATGGAGCTGTCCCTTTATCATTTTTAGGTCGTACTTATCCCATCTAATTGACAAGAAAACAGATAACAAAGCTCACATCACCACTTCATAAGGAACCAAAAATATAGGCAAAGAGCTAGGTGGACATTTACAGCAGCAATTCTTACTAAATGTACCACCAAGGAAAAATACCTGCCACTAAAAATGCCTGTACCACAAAAGAAAAATTTTTTTAAAAATCTTATTAAGACCGTTCTGTTTTCTAACTGAGGTGCCTAGACTAGACAATCTTTGAGGCTGTTTCTAGCATTGTCCGTCATTTGTAAACACTTACAGAACATTTTCTTAGAATGAAAGAGGAATAATGTCTAGAAGAAATTAAATATTATTTAAAAATGGAAAATGTTAGCTCTTCATGGAAAACACACAACCTAGAATACTACACACACACACACACACACACACGCACCCATACTTCCTAGCTTATTCTTAGTCATAGCCATAAATAGCTACAAATATTTAGCAACTATTTTCCAATATGATCATTTTTGTTCTGAACACACGAGTATGTTAGTACAAGAAACATGACCCAGTAAATGAAGGCTTCCAACCCTGAATTTCCATGAAAACTCGAGTTTGAAGGAACTAGGTCACAGCGACCCTTCTTTGTTCAACCCAGTAAAAAACCTGATGTTATCAAGGTAACAACCACAAAAGAGGAAGCCCAAATGCAAATGGTTCTCAAAAGGGAATATTCATCTGTTCTAGACTGATGTGAACAACTAAAAACAAGGACAGCTTGCCTCTCCAAGGACAGCTTGCCTCTCCAAGGGCCCTGAAAAAGAGTATCCTTCCCCTCCAAACCTCCACCACCAAAACACTCCCTGACAACCTTGAAGTTCAAAAGCAATGAATACAAGGTTCTGGAGAACAAATGCAAGTGAGAGAAATTTAAGACAAAAATAAAACTGTCAGAATTCACCCAGGACCTAAATTTCTTACTGGCTGTCGAATTAACTCCACAGTCAACAACAAATGTGTATTGAGCACATTGGCCCTAGAGAAAGAGAGTGAAAAAGACAAGACTCTTGTCCTCATGGAACTGACTATAGTCTGGGGAGAGGGGCAACAAATGTAAGGTACATAGGCTAATCACAGACCACAAAGCCAGTAATTCAGTGCTGGGATATGGCTAGGGGCAAGGCAGGAGCCACTGCAATCAGAGTGGTCAGGAAAGGCCTCTGGCAGGAAGTGACTGCTGAACTGAGAGCCGGAAGAGAAGGCGCCAGCCAAGCAACTAGCTAAGGGGTGAAAGTCCCAAGTCAGAAGGTGCCCCTGAGCCTACAGTATGGATGAGAAGGGGAAGGGGACAGAACTCTAATCAGCCAAGCCCATGGGGTCCTCTGGCTCCCCTAATGGAGCATGCCTCCCGCCAAAAAGCATGCAATGGCACAGTCCCTAAACTTGGGAAACTGAGGCAGAGGGGCTTGGAGGGGGCGGAATGGAGAAAAAATATCCATTAAGGGAGGGGTAGGGTAGAACTTCCCTTGGTATCACTAAATTATCCCCTCTGTGCCAAAAAGAAAACTAGGCTCAGAAGAGTTCAGTGGCTTGCACACAGTGATGTCACTCTTAAAAGGATGGGCTAGGAATATCTGACTGGCATTTTTCCATTTTTTAACATAACATAAGCATCTGGCATGAGTTATAATGGTATACTATTAAGATTCATGTGAGCCAGGCATAGTGGCTCACAGCTGTAATCCCAGAACTTTGGGAAGCTGAGGTGGGAAGATCACTTGAGCCCAGGAGTTCGAGACCAGCCTGGGTAATGTTGTGAGACTCCCATCTCTGCAAAAAAAATTTAAACATTAGCTGGGTGTGGTGGCACACACCTGTAGTCCCAGCTACTCAGGAGACTAAGCTGGGGGGATCCCTTGAGCCTAGGAGTTTGAGGCTGCAATGAGCAGTGATCACGCCACCACACTCCAGCCTGGGCAATAGAACAAGACCCTCTCTCAAAAAAAAAAATAAAAGATACATATGAACTGAGGATTTTTCATTTATGATATTGACTAAGTCTCCAATTATCAAGAGATAGAAAGTTTTCCCTTATAGAATCCCTACAAATTAATTTATCTTCTTTATAAATTGATGCTAATTAACATTTCAAGACAATCTCTATATGACTTCTAAGTACATAACTCATAGCAGCCAAAATATAGAAGATCAAATGTCCAACAATAGGGTAAAAACTGATGATGACACAGAAATAAGGCAGAAGCCTGCTTACAGTTTTAAATGATAAGCATGTAGACTCCTCATACATGGAAACCTGATAGTAACTTAATTTTACATTAAACAGAAAAAGCAGTGCAGGACATAGTATGTACACACTGGTTACAACTTTGTGACAAAATGCATATACTTAACAAAGATGAGAAATAAATGGATAAGAATGTAATAAGACAGGGCCATTTTCATTTAAGGCTGCTTAAGCTTACATAATAAATATGTGAGGCAGCTTTTTAAAAGACAACAAGGTCAAATAAATGTCTTAATAAGTATACTTTCTTGAATCTATCCAGAACACACTTATACTCTCTTCATCATTTGGAATTTTCAAAGTACAAATACCATTGAAGATTTCCTTCTTTTAATTCAATTTAGATACTGGAGATTTGCATTACTGAGCAATTTAATATTGACTCAATGGAAAAAGACAGTGCAAAGGAGATTCCTGTTACCAAATATTCGTATAAACACTAAACACTAACCAAAATTTTTCACAGAGACTGTAAACCTAGAAAGTTATTGTGAAACAAATTTTCGCCACTTATAACACAGGCTATACAACTCATCCAAAGTCTCATTTTCTCTCATCCTGCTGTTTAATATATTAAAATGGTATGTTAAAAATTGATTATTTCCAAAATTATTAAAGGAATTTCATGAAATACAATCATTGATGGAGATGTAAAATGTTGCCTATGTCATCTTGTGGGCCTAAAACCACTTCAGGTTAGTTTTTCAAGACCATCACAGTATTGGGATCCATTAATTATTCTGACACACAAAGATTCCGCAATGTGCTGCTTCTCTTTGTATTTAAAAATTTAAGGAGTTTTGCACTGATTGCCCGTTGCCTAGCAAACAACAATCTGTTTAAGATGAACTATTAAGCATATATACAAAATGACTTTAGAAAATTATCTAACTCCATTTCAAGATGGATGAGACAAATAAAAATAAGAGATACTATAAAGAAAAAAAAATTTAAGTATACCACAATTCAAATCTAATTTCCTAGACCCTCTATTTTATCTTTAAAAGTTGGAAACTCCATTAGCATTGTCTATTTTGATTCACTTTAAATGATAAGTTTAAACTTACCATTTAAAACTGTACATGATAAGTTTACAGTCCCTGAATCAAAATGACATAGCAAATAAAAACAAAGGATGAACATTGGAAATGTTCTAAAAATGCCACTGAATCATATTCTTTAAAATGATTCATTTTGCTGTATAAATTTTACCTCAATAACAAAGAAAAGGATAAAATCACCAGTATATGTCTATATTTCCAAGAGAATATAATATTTATGCGATAAAGAGATAATATAGCAAATCTATGCAACAAAATTCCAAGGTTGTTCAACTCAAACATTATAACAATAAAAAGTCATATATTCATGATTAATATATAAGATCTGCTTCAAAAGAATATAGAGGAGGCCAGGCGCGGTGGCTCATGCCTGTAATCTCAACACTCTGGAAGGCCAAGGCAGGTGGATCACTTGAGATCAGGAGTTTGGGAGCAGCCTGGCCAACATGGTGAAACCCCATCTCTACTAAAAATACAAAAATTAGCCAGGCATGTTGGTGCACACCTGTAATCTCAGCCACTCAGGAGGCTGAGGCATGACAATTGCTTAAATCTGGGAGGCAGAGGTTGCGATGAGCTAAGAACGTGCCACTGCACTCCAGCCTGGGCGACAGGGTGAGACTGTGTCAAAAAAAAAAAAAAAAAAGAATAACAGCCAGGCTTGGTGGCTCACGTCTGTAATCTCAGCACTTTGGGAGGCCAAGACGGGAGGATCATGAGGTCAGGAGTTTGAGAACAGCCTGACCAACACAGTGAAACCCCATCTCTACTAAAAATACAAGAAATTAGCTGGGCGCAGTGGCGGGCACCTATAATCCCAGCTACCTGGGAGGATTGCTTGAACCCAGGAGGCAAAGGTTACAGCAAGCTGAGATTGCGCCACTGCACTCCAGCCTGGGCAACAGTGTGAGACTCCATCTCAAAAATAATAATAATAATAATAATAAAAAATAGAAAGAATATAGAGAAAAAGGAATATGAGAGAAAATGAGTGGGAGTATAGCTGTAAAGATTGGCTGGAAGTTAATCATTATGGAACCTGGGCAATGGGTACAGGGAGTTTATTATATTATTCCCTCCACTACTGTGTATATTTAAAACTGCCCATAGTAAGTAGTTTTTTAAAAATTCTATCTTTAGGATGGGTTTAATGCTGGAACTAAAGACACTTGTATAGCACTGGGTACTTAAGGAGCTTAAAGTGAATCAGAAAACCAGCAAAATTATTATCTTACTTACTTGTTATTATCATCTGACTTCTAATATTATCTACTGTTAACTTATTTTTTTAATGAACAAGGAAGCTTAAGCATTTCTTCAGTGGTTTATATGAACAGACTTCCTACATAGCACATTTTATAAAGGGTAGCAATTTATAAGATCAGTACATACCAGGAGTATCATAGGCCTTTTCCAAGTTGTTAATCCTATGATTCCAGAGAGTATCACCTGTAAAAATAAACTATCATAAATATAGAAAATGGACCAATTCCAATAAACAAATCCTCAGTCACAAAAGTACATATTTTTAAAGATACTGAAATTTCAAAACATTCTAAATCAAACATTTAATATTCCTCCTGGATTACAGGGTTCACCCTGGTAGACCACTTTGGACTTTTACTTCCAAGCCCTCAAAGCTTTTTTATTGACTTTAATTTTGTTTTGTTTTTAAAGACAGGGTCTTGCTCTGCCACCCAGGCTGGAGTGCAACAGCGTGATCATGCCTCATCGCAGCCTTGACTTCCTGGGCTCTGGTGATCCTCCCGCCTCTGCCTCTCCAGGAGCTAGGACTACAGGCGCACGTCACCACACCTGGCCTGTTTTATCTTAATGTCAATTAAGAACACACAATCAGAAATTAGCCTCTCCTGGTGAGTGAGGAATGACTATTTCTCAGCCAAGCTCCCTGTTCCTAGCAGCACCCAATCTGTTGCCAGGGTCAGCCTCATCGGATGCATGTCTGGCGGTATCCTTCCCTTCATCAGGTACCCATCCACTATGGGACAGGTAAAGTCTTCGAAATGGGAAACAAGGCCCTTCAGGATTTTCTCTTACCTACTCTCAAGCTTGGTTTTTACATACCCCAGCCCCTCCACCACACACCGTCCTACCAAGTACCTGCCCTCCCTCGGGCCAGCCAGGCTCCTGACATTCCTGGGCTATGTGCTTCTTTCTCTTTGCTGAAGTGCTGTGTCCTCCCAGCTTCCCTCCTAGCTGCCTGAGAACTTTCACCCATCCTTCAAGGCCCCATTTAGCAGTCACCTGCCCTGAGAAGCCCTCACTGATTCCACCACTCCACACTCATGGAAGCCTTCTGCACACACTTCTTTTTTTCCAAAAACTCTACTGTAATAATTGAGGGATGTGTCTCTGTGAACATCTGACACTAACTGTGAACTCCTGTCTTGTCTCTCTAAAGTCCTAGTTCCCAGTATTGTGCCCCAATTGTTGGCAATTAATATATGTTCTACAGCATTTATTTCACAAAGTGGGAGGAACTACTGTGAGGAGGAGCCCATGTTGCAAAATGACACTTCGATAAAAAACGAGCTAAAAAATCTCAATAAGAAAAAAACAGGCTGGGCCTGGTGGCTCACTCCTGTTACCCCCAGCACTTTGGGAGGCCGAGGCAGGCGGATTGCCTGAGCTCAGGACTTCGAGACCAGCCTGGACAACATGGTGAAACCCCATCTCCACTAAAATACAAAACCTTAGCCAGGCATGGTGACGCTACTTGGGAGGCTGAGGCACAAGAATCTCTTGAACCCAGGAGGTAGAGGGTGCAGTGAATCGAGATTGCACCACTGCACTCCAGCCTAGGTGACAGAGCGTGACTCATCTCCAAAAAAAAAAAAAAAAAAAGTATTATTAAAAGGAAGTGTCTAGCTCCAGCCATAAAAACCCATAAAATAGCGATATGCCTAAACTGTTCTTCTCACCTTGCCTACCCAGCCACAGCACCCCACCCTCCTCCATGTTAACAATCTAGCATGTTTACATATTTTACATATGTATGTATTTTTCTCTAAATTCTTAGTACTACACACATATGTCTATGTGTATATATACACACTCACAGGGATGTGATTTTTGTGAAAAAAATCATAAAAGATATATTTTCCCTGCCTCTTCCTTTACTCTCTCAATAAATACTTCATAGAAATCTCTTCATATGCATTGGAACAGCTCTAATTCATTTCACTTTAGTGGCTACATAACATTCCATTGTGTGACTGTATTTAACATATTCAATCATTTCCATATTAATGGGCATTCATTCTATGTCTAGTTTTTTGCTCTCACAAACAATGCTGCAGTAAACATCTATGAACACATATCTTTAAAAACAAGTGCTTTTATTTCAGCGGAAAAAAGTCCCAGGAGTGAAGTTTCTAAGTTGAAAGGTATTTCTAATTTTTTTATTTTAATAGATTCAACTGTCATTTCAAATGAGGTATCTCTGAAACCAAAGAACTAAGCTATCTGTATTTCTTCCTTTGGAGGGGAGGTATTTTGTTTGCATATGGTAGCAACAAACTATAGAAAATGTAAGTTAAAAAATATGTACAAAATGTATATATGTACAAAATGAGAAACATCAATAATCTCAAACTATATATGACAAAGATCTTTAAGGCCTCAGTGGGGAGAAATACAAAGTTTATCATGCAATATTAAACGAATAGCCAAGTAAGTCAAGGCATATACCAAGTCTGTGGATTGAAGACAAACTAAGAATGTCATTTCCATTTAAGTTGTTATATAGACTCAGCACATATTCAAGTTAAATCCCACCAGGATTCCTGTAAGCCACCGCTCTTTACAATGTTTTAGAAACTATATTCCAGCTCCAGGCGGGAGCTATAGTTATGGCTCTTCATTCCTGAACCCAGCAACAAAGGCACACACCTACTTTTATTCAACTTCTCCCTCTCTTCAAGCCCGGTGAAGCCCTGAGGCACTTGGAGAACCCTGTGAGTGTTGATGGGGAGAAAAGCAAATAGAGGAAGCAGGCCTGGATGGTTAGAAGCCTCTCGAATGGTTAATGGGAACAGAGGTGCTACAGTTGGGGATAAATTTTTTAAGAGCTCAAGACTTAAGGAATGATGCTTCCATTTCATCTGAAAGGGAGGCAGAATTCACGGATGGGGAAAGGAGTTGGGAAAAGAAGAGAAGGAGGCAGAGTATTCAATGTCTCCACTCCCTTGGTGGCAGCAGTAGCTGGAGCTCCATCAGAAATGAGTCAAGAAGGTCCCTTAACAATGTCCTTCCATGGCTCCCACTATGCCGGAATGCTATTACATGTTTAACCATCAGTATCACGATGAGGGCTTGGACCTGTGCATACTTACTGGCACACCACTAAAGGATCCCAGAAGGCACTCAGTTAGTTACGGCAAGAGTCAATGAGTGAATGAATGAATGGAGGCCAGAGACAGGAGATGACCGTGCTCAAAGATGACTATGTAAGCCTAAACACATTTTTCATCCCCTGTGCTTCCTGAAAGAGTACAGCAGCAACAAAAAGCAACTCCATCAGCATTCTTTCCATCCAGCGCAAGATGGAACTAGCCCTGAATGAACAGGTAAGAACCTATTTTCTAACACCAAACAATCTCTGTATTATAATGAGAGGTATTACAAGTTTTGTTTCACTCACTGATAACCCATTTCTTGTAGCTTATAGGAAAAAGCAGAGGCCTTTCCTTTTTTCTGATACTACAAAGAAGGGCTCTGAGATACCCCAGGGGAGAGTCACTGTTACCCACCATAAATGGTTAATGTGCTTTCATTTTCCAAAGTAAAAATCAAATCGTTAAGATCAGAAGCTTATAATTCTACTGCCCTATTTCCCTTTGCTAATCCATTAACATGTGTTAGAGCAAAAATGTTCTGAATCATTTATCAAAAGCTGCTGTGTGTAAACACAGAGATTTTTAAAAAGCCATTGTTGTAAATATCCTGTGTTACCTTGTAAATAAGCAGAAAATCATGTCAAACTTCTCAACAACCTACCCTGCCCTATAGCTCTTATGATGGCAATTTTTAAAAAAATGTGTGTGTGTGTGTGTGTGTGTGTGTGTGTGTGTGTGTGGTTTTCTTCCCTATCTGTCTAGCATAGCTCATTTAAAAAAAAATTTTTTGAGAAAATGGGCAACTGAATATTTCTAATGAAAACATGATGGTAACTATAATGTCCTACAAAAATACTGGCCTGTTCACTTTACTTTGATTAACTATGACTTTGGTGTTTAAAAACCATTGATAGAGGTTCCTGTGTATTCCAGGTCTGGTGCTTGGGTCTAGCAGTGATGCACTCTCCCATATATACTCTAGCTACACCTTCACAAAATTAGTCCTGAAGAAGCAGCATCCCACCCATTTTACAGATGAGTAACTGAGGCCGAGAGGCACAGAACTTATAAATGTGACTCTGCTGATATGCAAAATAAAGGACCAAAGAAATCAAAACTCATCCTCAAAATTATATTTTAAATATCCTTTAAATATTAAAGTAGTATTTGATTAGTATGATAAAAAATATTTACTATCATTTAACTGGTAGTAAGCATAATCTTTATGTTGGTTTTTCCTTTGGTCCACTGATTTTTCTTTGTTTATTCACTGCAATTTTTTTAAAAAAGGTTCACCCTAAAGTTCACCAATGTCTGTCTCTTTATATGAAAGTGAAACCTTGCCAAAGAATCATGGACTCAAAGAAGGATGATCATGAATTCAGATCAGTGACTTAAAGCAGTATACAACTGATAAAGAATAACAGGGCACTCAGTGAGGAACAAAAAACAACAACCAATTCTCTACCACTCATCTGAAATATCTCCCAGGGATCATGCATGTCATCGAAGTTAGGAATTTTGTTTCTGAAGGAGGAAAGACAACCCAATGCAACTCTCTCTCCTCTTTCATTAAATCTAGTGCAGTGTGGCAGACTGAGTCTCCCATACCGCAGTGGAATGTAGTTAACCCCAGTGGAACCTAGTTAACTCCCATACCCCAGTGGAATCTAGTTAACCCCATTGGAACAGTTAACTCCCATACCCCAGTGGAATCTAGTTAACATTAACTCCCATACCCCAGTGGAATCTAGTTAACTCCCATGCCCCAGTGGAATCTAGTTAACACTAAACACACCCCCCAAACCGAGAGCTAGGACAGCACAGCTGAAGACGGACACTGAGACACTCCCTTAGCCACTCACCTCCAGTCAAACGTCAGGTTGTTTTTCAAGATGGCTCATCTTTTAGCTTCATGAATTTTGGGAATAATAATATACTGAGTGATTTACCAGTGATACCAGGAAGAAATCGAATGCTCAGAGTGCTCAAAAACACAGACTACGTTAAAAACTCTCCCTTCAAGTTGCTGAAAGTATGAATGAAAACTATGAGAAAAGATGCTTTATAGAATTTGTTAATTCTTAAGTG